GGGGGGTGTCCCATCTTTCTGGAAAAACAATATTCAGAGAACAAACAGGGCCCCAGTCAGACATCGAGGATGATATTATTATGTACACATGACGGTGCATCGTCCTTGACTACCTACGGGATCTGATCTTTTAGTTTTAGTAGAAGTTTTACGGCGCTCGCAACTGCTTAAGGTCATAATGTTACAAGAGAGTAACAAACATAAAAAAGAAGAAGGGGGGGATTTAAAGGACGATAGATGTTTTATAGGAAAGAAGAAGCAACTCACACCAGAGCACCCGCCAATCACCCACGTTCCCAGTCAGACATCGAGGATGATATTAATCATATTATGTAAACATGTACGGTGCATCGCCCTCGACTATCTACGGGATCTGATCTATACGTTCTTATACTATCTCTGACCGTCTAGGATCTGATCTATCTTTTTGGCTATCTGATAGCTGATATCACCTGCAGTATAATACGGTAAACACACAGACACGAGCTGGGCGCCCGGAGAACTGACGAGGTCAACATGACACACAGACAGACAGACCTGAACACCAGATCATCGACTGCTTTTTCGTTTCAGTAAGAAAAAGTTTTGCTGCACTTGCAAAACACAATTAGGTCATTCAAGTGCCGGGGATTATAATAGAAGGTCTTACTGTAGATTAACGTACAAAGAAAAGGAGGAGAAATAATCGTGGGATGATAGATTGACCGGGAAAGAAAGGAGGAGCAAACCACTGATGGTCTGCTCGCATCAGTCCGTCGACCTGGGCACCGGCGCTAAAATATAATATATATTTATTATTGGAAACCTTTCACGTTTTTTTAAAAATATGGTCTGCATGTCAACACAAACTGCGAACACGGGTTGAAACAGAAAGAGATAGAGAGGTGTCCTTTTAGGACACGTCTGTGTGTGTGTGGGGGGGGGCTGCGCCCAAAAATAGAAACGCACGACCAGACGATGATTGTATGTCTTAAACGTCATAAGAAGGTGTGTGTATGTGTGTCTGAGGGTGTGGGTGACTCAGAAAGGACGGACGACAAGATGATTTTTAAAGGTAAAGTTAATGATTAGAAAGCAACTGTTTTTATGGCAATCTTTAAAAAGAAAACAAAAAATGTGTTTGAATGTTCATAATGAAAAACAAACACAAAAATGCCTTATAATCAAATTTGTATCATATCATTACAAAGTACAGAGGAGAGCTAAAAAAAAGAAACGTTCTCGCCTACAAACTACTATGTTTATTTTTTAAACTGTGAAACAAACGGCAAAATAGAAATAACATAGAATGTAAGTATTTGTAAGGTCATATATGTTTTAGTAAGCCCTTAACTGCACAAGTGGAACACATTACTTAGGTTTTTATAAAAGTTGAAGATAACTAGACAGTGATATAATACAGAGGAAAGAAAGAGGAGAGGTTTAATGAGGACAATAAATATTTGATAGAGGAAAGAAGCAGCAAACCACTTCAGAGAACCCTCCAAACACCTACGACATAGTGAGTATCTTCTTGAATAATAAAAGAAGTGTAAGATAGGAAACAACCCACAATGGAAGAAAACAAACAAAACCCAACTTTGCAAACCAAGACTATTATTACCCAAATGAAGTTAAGTTTGTTAAAATTACCAAAAAACAAAACAGGCACCAAAACAAAACCAGCCTGAAATTTGAAAATTTGAAAGTTCGCATCAACTTTGAATTCCAGCACACAGTGATCCAACACACTGACTGACACTTTTCACAAGGACAGACAAGAAAGTAGATCAGAGCAGAACCCAACATAATATCCAACAATTACACTTTTACCTTTTGCTGCTGTCAGAACTGCCGTCATATTATATGACAAAAACATGCCAAAAATGAAATTTTACAAGAGAGGCAAAAAATTAACTACTTTGTGTGTGTGTTTCAAATTAACTAAAATTTGGTAGATCTGATTATTTTATATATGTCAATATTTATTGGCCGATCTGATTTTTGTCTGATTTACTGAGGTCTACAGCAAATCATTCGAGTAATTGAGTAAAATGTCTTTGGCAAATACAGAACAATGTACATATATCAATATGTAATTAGGTCACTATATTTTCAAAAGCCCAAAACTTCCTAAATTTTAATTGTATAGAAAAACCAAGACAGAGAGACGCGGCAGGCAAAGTGCTTTCTCCCCTGTATAAAAATAAAAACTGTACTTGACCTAATTAGGCACAAATACATTGTTTTTTGGTCATAGGACAGCAGAGAAGTGCTAACTGGTTACAGAAAAGAAAAATCCCAAACTTTCTCCATGGAAACTAAAAACATTTAGAATTTAGCAATACAGCTTGTAGAACTATGGTTGTATATTATATCGCAATACGACAGGGTACAAATGAGCATCCACCTCTACAGTCTGGCAGAATCCGGATTTATCCAGAAAATCAACACCTTGGTGCTGCTATAATGTGGAAAGTTCTTTCAACGAAAGTAAATCTAATGCCAGAAAGTTAAAAAATCAATAAATCGAATAGGACCATTTTTTAATGAAATACAGTCAAATATAATATAATATAACAAGCCAGACAGAGTACTTCGTTAAAGAAAACAATAATGTATCACTATTATTACTTGCGATCCTCCACAGTCATACACACACACCAAAATAAAAAATGAACAATTCAAACAAACTTTCCAAAATACCTTGAACTTACTTAAAGACAACCACTTGACAACGGGCAAGAACATGATCATGCTTTCACTGCATGCAGACTTTAACAATTAATCAACACACTCTACTGTTTTACAAGCTAACAAATGTTTTCAAGACGTCAATATCTTTTCTAACAAAGAAGTCAAATTTGTCTTGAAAAGTAAACACCATCATACAGTTTTCATACCTCTAACTTCTGACACACATCACAACCCACTAAAAGAGAGTGAAATAGAAAAACAAGTAGAGAAACAAAAGGAAAAGTAAAGGGGTCCATAAAAATAAAAGTGACCTGCACATATATAAAGTCCCTCTCCTCAGTCATAGAGCAGGAATTATAAATAAACAAACCCTTTCCACTACATTAAAATTCTACTTCTACTACCCCTTTCCACTACATTTTCAGTACAAATCGTCAAATTTGTCCAAGATAGCCAAGGAGAAAACTTTAAGTGGTTGTCTTAGACAGACTTCTTTGAAAGTGTCGTTATAATATTAAAAATGAGCAAGGGGAAGTGGTTGTTTGAACAGGTGGCAGTTAGTAACAGGTTTGACAGCATTTTAAAAAACAATCATCTGGACCCAAAACCCCACTTTATGAGAACGCCCCATTAACACTCACACTCCAGGAGTCCACACCTATTTATGCAGAACGGACTTCCCCAACTGAGCCATAACATTTTGAACAAGGGTTTTTTTTCTTGGTGCAATTTTCAATTTATATATACATATATCAGAATGATCTATTAAAACATTCCACAAACTCTTTCAAAGTGAACTCAAAGACCATCTGTCACTGTTAAAAATAAAAATACTATACTAAAAATTGCCTATTGACAATCGTTTTTACCCACATGGGGACAATTTCAACAAGAACAGCATGAGTGTGTTTTTTAACCTATTTTTTCAACTCAAAAACTTTCCTCACTCTCAACAGATTGAGTATTAACAACCTGTTTCATAATAGATTCATTTTCATTTTCTGGATATTTAAAGGCACTAATATTTCCTGCATTCAGATTTAGAACCTAGTCAAAATTTAGCGGTAATTGAAAAGAACTTTTTTCTTCAGCCAATGTTAAAAGAAAAAACTTAACCGAGTTGTAAGAATGAAATAGGTTTAATAACAACAGGCAGTGCAAGCGACAGCAACAAAAAACAAACTAGTGACAATCATGATTTTAATTATTTTAGTTTTCAACTACTCTATTCCACATTAACATTTTTGAAACACCACCACAGTTTACCCCACCAGACCAATACACTCACATTGCCTTGGCAATATCAACATCCTGGGTAAAACAAGAAATAATGGAGACTCACCCTTTTGTGAGAGGATTGCTGCTAAAATCCAAAACCTGAAGATTCTTGCACAGCCTGATTTTATCCGGAATTTCAAGGATTTCTATGGATATAAGTTAACATACAAAGAATTAGTATCAAAATGTTACTGCTACATACATGACTCACTCTAAACATTGTATTGAAATCACACAAATAGAAATAAAGCACACAAAAAACAACTAACAAATATGACAACAAAAAGTAGTTAAAGATAAACTACGAGGATAAAAACTCGATGTTTGTAGTTTTCCTTCATGATGAATACCTCCTAAACACTAACACTCATATGATGAACATCCTAAAAGCAGATTTTGAGCTTACTTTTCATGGCTACAGAAATAAATCTTTTTGAAAGTAGGCAATACTGAACTTGAGAAAGTTTGTTTTTTACATCAAGCAAATATATTCTGCACAATGGTGGATTAGATGGGGCAGTTTTTAAATGAAATGTACTATGGTTTGCTTGTTGTACTAACAATGGGGGCTCTCATGGTCAGAGGTTACGCTGTTCGCCTCTCATTCAATAGGCCCAGCAAAGTTTGGAAACCTGACAGTGACTGAAAATTATCTTGTAAAAACAAAATGTCTCTTGTCACCTCCTTTCCAGTTTTCTAACCATGTTTTGTCATCTGCAATCTCCACTTTCTGCCTCCAATCCCCCCCATGGCATGGCCCCAGACTTTTTCTGTGCAGCCTTTCAACTGCTAACTGCTAATTTGGGTAGGTTAAAATTTAGTTGTTTTGGTTTGTTTGTTTTTTTAAATAAAAATCTCTAGGGAGAGCCGACAACCCGGAAGTGTAGGCCTTGGGTTGAGTGAGTTAAAGTCTATCACTAAACTCACTGGTACTATGCAGGAGACTCTTTTACATACTCTCCCAATTTTATCACCCAAGCTTTCAGAATCACAAACTTCCCTAAATCTCCGCTTCTATAAATTATCCTATTTGCTTTTTTTAGTAAACACACCAAACTTAGGAGAAATTAAACTGAATGATCCTAGCAGTAAATGTATCGTCTAAATTATTCTGAGGTTTGGTAGACTTGCTCTAACTGTATACAATCTAGCCAGCTGACCTGGCGCGCTATATTAAGAGTTAAATAATATCTGTTACTAAGATCCAAATTGCCATCTAATGGGCAATACCACCCACAGGTTGGCAAGCACTGACCTAAAATGTCGGGACTTAATGACGGACAATGAACATTTTCTTGGAAACAAAACATTAAGGCAGTCATGTTCAGACAGTTACGACAAGCACAAAATATGATCAGTCATCTAGAACAGGACAGGTGTACAGAACTTAAGATCTCAAGAAGCTTCCTTGTACATTTCTAGTGATAAGCAAGGAGTCTGGCCAAGATCTAACTGGAAGCAGCCTGAAACTAATATCAAATGGCCACTGGCCTTCACGAGAATGTGTGTTAAAATGCAAGATCAGAGAATGGTGGCATTCATAAAACTCCCCATACTAGTCAGGTAACATTGTGTAACACCGACATGACAAACTCTGGTCTGCTTGAATATTCATTGTATTTTGTTAGTGCATGTCAGCATTGTCATGACTGCATGCAATTCCGTAAGAATAATGAGCTAATAAAAACTTCTTGCACTAACTTTTTATTAAAAATGGTTTTAATAAAAACTACTCAACAGTCAACAGACTGAAACATTTTCTAAAGACTTCATTACAAAGTCTGTTATTTCAGTGCTTATGATTCCCTTAAAATTTGAATAGAAGGTAGGCCTATATTATTGCCTCTATTATATAGGGCCTACAAATACCAAATTAATTTTAAAAGCATATATTATAATCAATATAGCCTAGAGTCAAGTTGTAAAACAGTATGAATTCTCTTCAGCATTATCAGGGCTCCCCTTTTCAGGCCAACTTAAGAAGTTCCTTCACCCTTTGGTTTTCTATCTGAAGGGGCATTTTTTTAAACCCTTGTTTTAGAAACGTAAAGGGTTGTTGGGTTTTTTTTGTTTCATGTCTGACACACTGATCCTCAAAAGTCAATCATCTCCTAATTCTACAGTAAGAATTTTGGAATGTAATATTTAACTCGCACGCACACATTCAATACACATACACAGAGTGATATCATGACTATGACTGAATGCTAACAATTTTTAATTAACTGGAAGTTTCATTGTAACAACAAAACATAAATGAGTAAAATTGATTAGAATTAAATTAAAGTTGTGTCCACAGTCCACTTGGAGGGGTGGGGGGGGGGGGGGTGGTGGTGGTTGGGCCAATTTAAAAAAATAAAGTTGACAAACCAAAAGGGGTCAACATTCCTGTCTTTCCAGACCCTCGATTTTTTTCCTTCATGAAAATCTCACAAGCCTCATGGATCACTTCTTTTTCATCAAACTGAAATGCTCATGCTTGCTTTCAAGCCAAATAATCAGTTTGTTGTTAAAAGCCTTTGTACGCGTATTTCTGACTGTCGTGTGTGTGTTATGTGTGAGGGTGTGTTGTCAAATCATTAAAACCCGACTTTAGAATAAGAGAAAGGGGGAAAATGATGCTTGCCAAACGCACACCACCTACGTTTTAAAGCGTAAAACCCCAAAAACGAAATTTTAAAGAGTAACGCTCACGCACCACCAAAACTTTAAGGGGGTAACCAGCAGGTTTAATGCGTAATATACCCACATCTGTGCGTAATGGGGAGCCCTGATTATAACACTATGCATGACATAGAACTGATATAATGAGTGTGTAACATGAGGCAGTCAGTAGTTATGACAGAGTGGGTGTTACACTAAGTTACAGTGTAAGTATTTTAGATCTAGGCAATCTAGGTAGTGAGTAATTGTAGTCTAGTCTAGATCTAGATTAGTACTATAGATTCTAAATCTAGATTCTAGGATCTCTTAATAAAACTCTAGTCTCTAGATCTAGTGTCTAGTCTAGTTGGCTAGTTGGACAGGCTGAACTTCCAAAATAAATAATAATCATTCATTTGAACTAAATTGAACTCTTCCGAATTAGAATGGCATGATTATCTAAATTAGAGCTGAGATGTGTGGATAATAACTTCTATTAAACAAAAACATGTATTGAATGGATCGATTATTTCACACCAAGTGATTGGGGCTTCTTTCGAGGTCAGAAGAAGTAACAGAGATAAAAGAGAACGAAGTGCAGCCAGTGCGGCAATGCAATGCAACGGCAGCAAGTGTGTATCCGATCCAACATGGCGGCAACCACTGCCGACGATCGGAACACAAACACTGACGGCACCTGTTGTACAGAAAGCAGCAAACCACTGTAATACGACAAAAAATGAAAACATTGAATAGTTACTCACCATTTTTACTGATATCCAGTTCCATAAGATTGACAAAGTTGCTGATTTCCTCTGGGAGACGCCCAATTTCATTGTCACTAAGACTCAACTTCCGCAATTGAACGAGTCGAAAAAATCCCTGCAAAACATAAATTAAGAGTCAGGTTTTCATATTTATCACACAGACTGAAAGATCGAGGATTGACAACAAGACATACAACATCATACTTACCCTGGGTAGCTCCTTGATTTGATTAGCATCCAGTAACAGTTCTTCTAAACTCCGCGCATACCGCAAAACATCATCGGGAACACTCGTAAGGCCCCAGTGTCGTCTGTCCACCGATTCAACCTGCCTGTTACAGGCTCGAAATAAAGGAATGCACTTCAACATGTCGAAATAAATCAAGGTTACAACCCCAGTCCAATCATGAATCAATCACTATAATCCAGTAAAAACGAAAGTTGAAGGCATTCACATGCTGTACACTGATACTACGAGTGTCAACAACCCATGAGCCTTTCGAAGTGATGCCCAGCATGTGACGTCATAATAAAATAGTCCATCATGCCTGTAGTGCGCGCGTTCACTGTGTGAATGCGCAGCCGAGTTTCCTCAATAAAAGAGGCTTCGGTCAGTTTCGCTAGAATGATGCTTTACAGCAGCATTAATTTTTGACCTTATATTCGATTATCTTACACTTTCCAAATCACATAGTGCTTATGAATACAAGAAAACAATAGGAAGGGAAAGGGGAGCCACTATTGTAGTTTTCTTCCAAGGAGCCGTGTTCTCGCAACTAGTGAACGTTCAGGTGAAGCGAGCGTGTTTCTTCCGCTATCACAGGTCACGTGACATTAAAGTCTGGCATGCCAGGTATTTGCACTCTATAGATCAAGGGTTTTCACCTGTTCGCAGTTCAGCTTCGGCATTTACAGCAAACTGTTATCTAATGTTTTGTGATACTCTATTATTATTTGAACAATGACAGGAAAGAGAGTCAAAATTATACGTTTTACTGTTTGAAAAAAAGTTTTGTTTTGCTTTCAGAATAGTTTTTTAACCTTCGAGTGCGTATTAATGTGCGTGCGTGCGAGTGTGTGTGTGTACGTGCGAGCGTGTGTGTGTGCGCCCGCGTGTGGCTGAGAATGCGAGTGCGATCATGAGTGTGTGCACGTCGGTGCGTGCTCGTCAGTGCGGATGAGGATGTTCTATTGATTGTAAAGAACATCCTGTACACCCGCTGGTGGAGCACCGGGTGACCTGGATTGTTTGTGCACCTGGGGATTTCTATCGTTGTTTCTTATCGAACGTTTTTCCACTTCTTTCTTTTTTT